CGCGTCATGGATTTGACGTTCTTTGAGTATGGAAACCAAGGATTCATCCCCTCTTCAAAACACTTAGTTGTAGAGTGTTAGGTGTGGATTTAAGAAGACGTGATTCAAGAAAGTGGAACAGTATTATCAAATGCCGAAAAGTTGATTATATACTTGAAGTTACACCAGATTCGAGTATCATTGTACATCAACCCCTAACTACCCCAACATTAATAGCGGAGAGTGCAAGAGTGAAGCTTTACAATAGATGCGAAATTATATGTAGTGTGGGAGAACATATATTAAAAATTGGGCGATTAAAATGCAGTTGCAGAAGTAGGTACATTTTCTGTGATGCAGATTCAATACTTTTATAAAATTCACCAATTACAATGCACCAAAATGTAAAACCTGTGATCAATGGGAAAGAGAGCGGTCACTTTGATAGGAAACATAACTGTCTTCAATCATTCTCCAATCCTCCAATATATTTCAACCATGTAACCATCAATGTAAAATATTGATAATCTCACCTGTTAACATGAATAAGCACTGCATATCAACACATGTCCAATCGATCACTCAAGCATAATTGACTTCATGAGGCCTCAGTTGCAAAGCAGCAGAAGTTTGTAGAACCATCAGCCCAAAGATCTCAAGTTTCTGTAGAAATTACACCTGAACAAAATAACTGTATTTCTAGTTTTGTATAGGACCTGTTCACCTTTTACCATCGGTCGATTTTCACTCTAATCCCTGAAATTTCGAAATAAAAATGAATGAATCATCAGTGAATCAAATGGGGGCTCTCATTGTTTTCCCCATTACACTGACAGCTTTCACGTACTTTGTCAGCGATCGAAAAAAACTTCGAGAGGGAATATAATTTTCAGAGGCATCGGTAGGAAACTTCAACAACAACTCACCTCAAATGAATTTCGACTTTCGACGAAACAACATAACCTGTAAAATTTGAATGCCGTCGAGATTCACTGGTGATTTTAAAAAAACCTGCGCATGCGCAAATATCTGTTTTTACCCGCATACCAGGCGCGGGTGTATATGGACCCGGATGTAGGCTATTTGAAGCCTTAGGTCACTCCCCCACTATCTTCCAAGCTGAAATACATACCATCAACCTTTGCGCCCAAAGGTGCCTGAGCAAAGATCTGAGGGGTGCCAACATATACAGGGTGTCCCTAGACCAGTGGGAGAGTTGAATACCTCCTGAACCAATAGGAATTTTCAAAATATTATAATTTCACATCATATCGCATTATGAATGCTTACTTCAGGAATGACTATATTTTATACGAGGTGCGCAAGAAAGGCTCACAAACTCGAACATCAATTTTTTCAAATGGAATACCCTGTATTTCATTGCATTTTCATATTCTCCTTGAAGAGCTGAATTCATCGACCTAGCACACTTGGGGTCTAGCGGGAATGATTTCCGAGATATAGGGTGTGGAAAATCGAGATTTTACAATTTTGGGAATTTTTTGTGTCGAAACTATTCATTATTGGTCAAAACGGCTAACATGTCCATGTCTTAACTTTTGATTTACTATTTACTCGTATTTAATTGAAACAAATACAGGGTGGTGTAGAATTCTGACTGAAACTATTAATTCTACACCACCCTGTATTCGTTTCAATTAAATACGAGTGAATAGTAAATCAAAAGTTAAGACATGGACATGTAAGCCGTTTTGACCAATAATGAATAGTTTCGGCACAAAAAATTCCCAAAAATGAAAAATCCCGATTTTCCACACCCTATATCTCGGAAATCATTCTCGCTAGATCCCAAGTGTGCTAGGTCGTTGAACTCAGCTCTTCAAGGAGAATATGAACATGCAGTGGAATACAGGGTGTTCCATTTGAAAAAGTTGATGTTCGATTTTGTGAGCCTTTCTTGCGCCCCTCGTATAAAATATAGTCATTCCTTCCTCATAATGCGATATGATGTGAAATTATGATATTTCGAAAATTCCTATTGGCTCAGAAGATATTTAACTGTCCCACTGGTCTAGGGACACCCTGTATATCTGCTCAGACAGCCAAGCCGCACTAAAAGCCCTAAAATCATTCGTTTTCACATCAAAGAATACATGGGACTGCTTAGAAACACTCATGCAACTGGGAATGGGCAACAAAGTCACACTTATGTGGGTTCCAGGGCATGAAGGAATCAAAGGAAATGAGGCAGCTGATCGCCTTGCAAAAAAAAGGTGCAGCATCTGCACTTTTTGGTCCTGAGCCTTTTTGTGGAATAAGCAAATAATGTCACCTAAAGGGAGAACTCAGGAAATGGGAATAAATTGAAAAGTCCTCCTACTGGAGAGCAACTCCAGGTCAACGACAAGCGAAAAGGTTCATCAACCATTCGCAGAACCGAGCTAAAGAGCTACTCAGCCTCAGCAAACCAGAGCTAAAGCTTATCACAGGCTTTCTCACAGGACACGCCCCTCTGAGGTACCACCTCAAAAAGATGGGCCTGGCGGAGACTGACACTTGCCGCTTTTGTAACAATGCGACCGAAACCGCGGAACACATACTTTGCTCATGTGAAGTATCAGTGCGCCAAAGGCTGAACCACCTAGAACATGTCTATCTCACCCCTGCTGAAGTGGAAAAGTCAACCGTCAGGAAAATCGTAGGCTTCATCAGAAGTCTAGGGTTAGAGGACCAAAACTAGATAGGGGTAATCACAATAGATCTTCTAGGTCGCAGTGATCGAGAGGTCTCCCAGTATATTATGTTTAGTAGGTATTTGCACTAGAGTCTCGAGATTATACCCGTGTGTTCACCGAACACGCCCGATCGTTACCTAAGCGGTGGGGAGACCGAGACGTAAGCAGGCAGCTATGATACAACTCATGCTGTCTCTGTTTTTGCAGTACGGGGTGGGCCACCAACAGTTTTCTTGATCACATTTCAACTTTTGATAGGCATCAAGTGATCTACTGCGACCTATCAGATAATGAAAGTGATGATTTGATTTGCAATAATTCGCTATGTCACGACGAGTCCTACATGTAAATAGCGAACCACTCATCGAAAATCATGAAACTATATGTACATATTATATGCTTATGTTTTGTTGGCGAGGACGCTCGTTTTATTCAAATTATTTTCGATAATGTTCATCTGCTTCACTAGAATTTATTATTAGTAGTTAGTAGTAGTAGCTATAGTAGCAGCTTTGTTATTCAAAATGGAACACCTTATATTTTATTACATTTTTCGATTCTTCTAATTGAGCTATGATTCGTTGATCAAGCTCAAGGTATACCCTATACGTAGAATGTGAAAAATCGAGATTTTTTTTGTATCGAAACTATACAATACCTATATTGATTTGTCAAAATGGCTTACATGTGTCCCTATCCTCACATTCTATTTACTATCTACTGATGCCATTTAATTGAAACAAATACGACAGGGTGGATCAGATTTCAGAATTATATAAAAGATGTACTAGTATATTATATGCCTACTGAAAATATAAATATATTTGAAATAAACCAAACAAATATATCACATAAAAAAACACACTAATATTCAAAATAAAATAAAATTCAATCCCACTGGATGTATTTGAAAATATAAACAGTGTGCATGTCACTTCTAATAAAATCAACCCGTATATCTAACGTAACTGTTCAATTTTAAGGAGCGATAGATATATATACCAACTATGACCAAAGTGGGGTAATCTTCAGTGAAAAACACTGCTCTGGTCATGGACCCACCAACATTTCCGGAAAATGATATTAGGAGGCAAGATAGGTTGAAAATCACTTCGGATTCGAAATCAGGACGTAACCCTGTACCTCGAAAACGAAGCAAGTTTAGGACACATGTTTATATGACCTTTATTCATCATATTATATCACAAGGAATCATCCCTTGATTTATTTCGGTGTTATTTAGATACACCCTGTATAGATCATTCTTCATCCCAATATAGTTATTCAACATTTTTCCCATAGCGAATTTCAGCAAATGCCGATGGCGAGAGCACCATGTTTATTGATTTGATGTCTACCTATAATTTAATATATGTAAAACTAGTGTTCCGTTTCGAAGTACATTAAATTGACAAATTTGACTCCAAAATAATTCAGGCACGCGCCAATATTCATAACGTAGTTACTGCTAGAGTCCCTGTATGTATTTGACACTTTTGCTGTAATAAGAGTACGGACACTATGACAAGCAGTGACAGAAGGCATAACCCTAAAAAAATTGAAATGACATGAACAATTTGGCGGGCACTGACAGTTCATGAACGTACATGACATTGAATTATTTGAAAATTCAGGTTTTCAAAAATTAAAATGTCTAATTGTGTAGTGGAGAATTGCAAAAATGGAAGCGAGTCCTTTCATTTATTCCATTTCCCCCATTCTAACCAATAAGTACATATACCCTTTGTTATGTATATCGAGAAATACTTTCAACAAATTGATTTACAAACTATGACCCCTTTTCGCCAGTGAGATGAGACGCCACTTCTTCATGAAAATAAAGACAGAGAAAGATATATGGATGTACCCTTCACCGCGGCAGTAGAGGATAGAAGATCCGAAGTGCATGGAAAAGCATATCCATGTCTTTGTTCAAAAGTCATCTTGAGAATTTGGGGTTATGCCTTCCGTCACTGCTTGTCATAGTGTCCGTACTCTTATTACAACAAAACTGACAAATATATACAGGGAATTATACATACAGGGACTCTAGTTACTGCTGCCCGTTTACGTTTCCCCACCGCTTAGGGAACGATCGGGCGTGTTCGGTGAACACACGGGTATCATCTCGAGACTCTAGTGGTATTTGCTTCACTGTTTATGGTTCACTTACAGTGTTGCAGCTGATGCATAATTTGTTCGTCTGCCATATTGAATACGCATTCTAGTCGTGGGATATAAAGGTTGTGGGTTCTTTGATTTCAACGCGAAATTTGAATTTGAATATTGAAATGAATGTCTGATACAAATTTTTTCGGTTTTTAGATCAATAAAACTACCTGATGACGACTACAAATATTGTGACGTGTGCGATAAATGGGTTGCAATAGAAAATAAACACTGTGCGGCGTGTAATGACTGCACGTCAAAAAGTGGCGTCACTTATGTACATTGTTCACTCTGCTCGAGATGTGTCAAACCGACTTGGCAGCACTGCGAAAAATGTGGCAGGTGCACCCAAAAAGACCACATTTGTGAACAGCTGGTATTTCACAAGGTGAGTTGAGAAAATATTCAAACAATACTCATTTTTCTGTCACGAATATTAAATCAGATATTGGTAAAAAATCTATTTATCACAGTGGAATGATACAATACATCACTACCAAATAACTTGAAGCTGATTAATAGGATTGAAAATTTTAAGAAGGAATTCAAGAAACATCTACTCCTGTAATATTGACATTTTATCTCATTTTTATACTTTCCTCGTTCAACTACTATAGTTTTCCATTGGGTACCTATAACAGCTGAGTCAATTAGGAATCATTTCCAGTTGAACTTAAAAAAGATTATTTCTTCTTGAGTGTGAGTCGTATTTTACTGTCTTCTTCATTTTGTCAAATATATTTATATATTCACCATGTTCCCTGCTATTAACAAATATTGTTTCTTGGGAATAATAAAGTTGATTGATTGATTTCCTGTGGAAATATCAGACCTAACATTTTTGAACAATCAAAAGCCTATGTTTTGTATCGTTACCATGGCAACTAAACACAATTTCGAAATTTTTTTGCTCAGAAGATTTTGTTTTCAAATCACAGATTCGTGATAGAGTTTCAATTCAGAATTTTTTCCCACGCCCTGTATGATGAATATCAATTTATCATACACCCAAACAAACGTCTTTATATTGAAATATTGTGCGTGTTCAATAGATGTAATTAGTTGTTTTCTGTTGAATATACCGATAGAGAATTACTATTTTCATCAAATAGACATTGCAAATCCTCAATTTTTTATTATTTTTTCATTATTATTCATCTATTATTTTTTTAAATCGAACACCCTGTTTTTTTGTGTTGGCTTCTACAGATATCATGTTAGCCATGAATGAGGATATATTTGAAAGTTGTAATTGCATCATTATCGAATATATTCGAAAAACTGATCCAGTGATCACCAATTAATCAGACAAAATTTGTTTTTATAGGCTCTAAAGAGTGGTGATAAAAAAGTGAAAATAAAAAATATCACCCTGTAGATATATTTATTTTTGTGATCACAAAAATTCACAGACTCAAAAAAATATAGAAAACAGGGTGTTCCATTTAAAAAAAAGGAATTCGTGGTTTGTCACGCTTTTAGGTATCAACCTGTAAAACTGTTGATGAGAGTTTTTGAAAGGCCTCATTGCGGCATTAAACTTCCGCGTATTGTGTTTTTCCTCAATGAAAAAATGACGTGGTGAGCTTTATCGACGGATAACCCTACCTATGTCTGCCTGTCACCAGTAGAGTAGAACTTTCGGATCAGGGCAATGCGGTGTTGCCGATGCCTCACCACAGCGTATTATTTGAGATAGTTATGGTTCTACCAACCTTGACCTCACGTCTCAGTAGCATGATCTAGTGGACAATCGAAAAATGTTGACCCTCATTCGTTACCACCCACTCAATATCACTGTTTTAACAATAATAATTCTTGTCTAGGAGTGTTATAATTGTAAGGAGCCCGGACACAAGAAAGCCGATTGTCCGAAGAATAGTGAAGTCGGCGCTAAAAAGAGGTTGAACCAACCTAACCTCAAACCCAAGAAGAAGAAGAGGAAACATTAAAAATGGTTCATAGTGTAGAATATGTTTATAAATATATTATGTATTTTTAATATTCCTCCAATGTTGGCTAATAAAACTACCTCGGAGAAGCTTTTCGCATTGTTTTTTTTCCATGCAATGAAATTAAATTACTCTATGCCAAATCATACTTGTGTTTTGATTTCTTGGGGAATAGAATCCACCATTTCATCGCCGGATGAAAATTTCATTCCATTTTAGAATCAGGAAAACTTTGCAGAACTTATAAGTAGATATTCACCTAATAAATGATAATCTTTGGCAGAAGTCCATGGTAATTCAAAATGGATTGGTGTAATTCATAGATAAAACCCAAAGTCATCTCCACAACATTCATTAGAATGATCAAAGATCAATCTTGAAGGTACATGTTTCGGGCTTATACAGGGTGCTCATTTCAGGACTTCCCACCCTAATTTTGTCGAAATGTGTGTATGTTTTTGAAAAATTCCGAGACACGTCAACTACATTTTCGAGTGGGACATATGGTTCTAAAATATTATCAGCCCCGCGGCGTTGCCGCTTCTAACGAAAAGAAGCAACAACTTTGTTATTTCAAATGGAACACCCTGTATTTTATTGCATTTTTAGATTCTCCCTGAAAGGCTGATTTCATCAATGTATCACACTTGGGGTCTAGCAGGAATGATTACAGAGATATAGGGTGTTCAAAATCGAGATTTTACAACTTTAGGATTTTTTTGAGTCGAAACTATTCATTATTGGTCAAAACGGCTTTCATGTCCCTATCTCAACTTTTGATTTACTATCTACTGACATTTATTTGAAACAAATACAGGGTGATCAAAAGTCTGAATCTTGAACCACCTGTATAAGCCCATCATCAGCCAATAAAAAATTTCATAGTTATGGAAATGAAAAAAGTAGGCATACAAATAGTATAGTAAATGACAGTGCAAAAAAGAAAATATGCTCCATGATTTTCACTGTAAAATGATATAAAATAATTATGTTATAAAATTATCATTCAAAGGTCGTGTTCATATTTTACAAGGGACAATTACACTTTGAAAAATCAAAGTAAAAGTTTGATCAGGCATCAATATTAACCTGATGAAGAGAAAGAATCACATGTGCGTCGATTTTGTTATGGTGGATCTTGTTTGTTTTCAATTTGTGAATCGTCTTATCGATAAAATTCTTTGGATAGGAGTTGAGTTGGAGAACATTTCTGATGTGGTGGACTTCGTTGATGAAAATTTGTTGGTCACATGATATTGAATAATGAATGTTAACCTACAGACAGTATCCCACAATATATGCGCTTAAAATATTCACATCGAATTTTGAATCATCCTGTATATAGTGATCTCACATAGTTTTCATTATAAAATTTTGTGATTTGTCATTAAAATTCCTTCTGCCATTTCTGCAATAGAAGCTAATACTCCTAATAGAGTGAAAATGTCTGAAACACAAACGATCATATTTCGTCAGCATGTCCTCCCGTTTGATTGCATAAACATCTTGCCTTCTTTTAGAAACTTCACGAGTATTTGAATTGAACATTTACATCAAAATGAACGTACCTGAAAAATAGGATTTAATGCGACCTCTTGAAGGGGGTCAGAATCACATTTAAAGATTCCATTACATGCAAACATACATACCAAGCTACTGAAATATTCTCAGATAAATTATTAACATAAATGGATATATACAGGGTGTTCCATAAGTCATGGATCAAAAGAAGTGGGGTGGTAGGTTGGGTCATTGACAATCAAACTAACGGTATATACAGTGTGTGACCCACTTCTAATGGAACCACCCCTGTATCTTACGTAATCGTTGGGTAAGGATCCTGAAATTTGCTGGAGCGAGAGATATACCAAAAATGCACTCTATGACCAAGTGGGGTCATCTTCAGTGATATACACTGCTCGCCAACAGCCATGGAACCACCCCAATTTCCGGAAAATGATATTAGGAGTCAAAATAGGTTGAAAATCACGTCGGATTCGGAATCAGGACGCCCAAGTTACTAACTATTCAAAGTTTTCCTAGAAGATTTTCAGTTCAGAAAAATTAAATTTCGTCTCACTTCTCATGGAAGAACCCCCGTATCTTACGTAATTATTGATCGAGGTGGGGTTCTGAAATTTGCCGAAGGAAGAAAAAGTCCAAAGATAGAGTCAATTACCTACGTGAGATACGGGGGTGCTTCCATAAAAAATGCGACAAAATTTTATTTTTCCGAACTGAATATTTTCCAGGAAAAAGGACCCCGCACTTTTTCTATATAAAAATGGCGTTCCGTCGAATTTCCCCAATTTTTGGTAAATGATAGTACTCGACATACTGATTGAATATGCCAAGTCCCAACTCAATCCTATGACTAGTTTACGAGATACAGGGTGTTGAAGTTGAAGAATACCTAATTTTTCTCGGCCTATATCTCTAAGATAGGACAAATGAATTCCAATTTTTCGGGAGCACGTAATAGTTATGCCCTTAGGCGCAAGAACTATATAGGTATTCGACCAAAACTGATTTTTATTACAGGGTGATTCTCATTTCAAATAATGTGTTTTTTTGAATATCTGAATATCAATGCTACAAATTGATAACAATTACAAAATGAGATTTATAGCCAAGTATGCTCTTCTTACATCAATTGAATTCGTAAAATATAATAATTATACATGGTGTTTCATTAATGCTGTTGATTGCATAATTGGTCTATCCTAAAGTTCATTGGGCCACCTCGTATTATCGGGTTGATTCCAGACATTCAAAATATTTTTGAAGGATGTATCCCAATGAGTTCCATGATATACAGAGTGATTCATCGATTGAAAAAATTGACAACCACGAAAAAATATTCAAAAACCACTATTTTTTTCATCACCCTCTAATTCGAAATTATTACCGTCGATGTAAGATTTTTTTCCACCAATATACTCAGTATGGATATTTCAATCAAATTGGGAATTTTCAGACCCATGCTATGACTAGTTTTTTTTATACATCGAATAATGTGAAAATAATTATGGAAAAGTAATTACATAATAACACGAAAAATTGCTCCGAATCGCAAAACTAGTAGTCACTAGTCAACTATGTCAAAAAATGTGATTTGTTCGTAAACAAAATCTAGTGGTCTTATTATAGGTCCGCTAGCAAAACATCTCGAAAATGTTTTTCAGAAAACATCAAACAAATCACAATATGCCCCCGAAAAAATCTCATCAACGACACAACTCATCAACGATCCCACTCATATAAACGTGCTAAAACTCATGAGCGTTCCAAGTCGACAGCGGTTTTTCCCAACTCAATCCTATGACTATACTTTTCGAAAAAAATATGAAACTAAACTTCCGCAAACGCCTAGTGAGAGGTGCGCGTTAATATATTTTGCAACTCTCCTTTATCCAACCAACTTCCAATCTTTTGATCATACTGTATATTGTTAGAATCGAAGTTAGTATATGCACATCGGAAAGACACTAAAGTTGGAGTTTTGGTTATGTAGATATTCGTTACCGGGTTCAGTATAGACTTGAAAGAAAAATGGAATACAGGAACATCAGTAGGTACCGAGGAATCATCATTTATCCAACACATCAAAAATATAGTAAAATAATAATGAAACAATCTCGAAGCCTCTTTCTTCCACTCAATATCAATTCAGAATTGCAATCATAGATTTTGAAAAAATACATGAACCAACTCGTTTTCCAACAACATCTATTTGTTGGAAGAAATAGTGGCATTAGGTAATGTATATCGTAAGATATACATACCGTAATAGATCGATAGACATCCTCAAATAACTATAAAATTATATTTTAGGGTAAGTTCTAGTCCCAATTCAAGTTGACAACTGATATTTTTGGAATCGGCGGGGTCGAATTAGTCTAGAAACTTGGGTTGTCACGAATTAATAAGTATGTTTTACTTCGTAGAAGTCGAATTTGGATTATCGCAACCAGATAGAATATTTTTCAGTAGGCTTAGAAAACAAAATCATGATATCAATAAATGTGTCTGTCATCCAGCAACTTTCGGGTTGTCAGTATCTTAAAATATCATATCAGCGTATATCTTTATTCTGAGTGTTTTTTAAGTCGTTTTCAGTAATTGTTTAGTGAATTTAGTGCGCATTATGGCATTTGCAAATAGGGTAAGATGTTATGTATGCGAAGGGAATTTCATTCCTAGACTCACAATTCGTATAAATCGTGAAGATAATGTTGATTTTCTGCAAATTGCAACATTTAGAAGACAAGCTGCTGGAAATCCTCCAATTGACATTTTTGATGATACCAGAGTTTGTTTCAATTGTCATAACAGTGTAATAATTGATATCAATGAGATGGAAAATAACCCAAACTGTCTTCGCCTAAATGTATTGAGTCCAGTAATGAGCCGTGCCTGCATAATCTGTAATGCTCGTCAACATGTTCAGAGAATAACTCTTGCATGTAGGGTGAACATTTTTGTTGTAACGAATATTTATGTTCCGGACTTTCTGAGAATTTGTGGTCATCATCTTGACCCTCATGGATTTCTCTTGAATAATTTGCATGGAGGTTTGAATTTTATCAACAAACCCTATTTGATATCAAATATGCTTCAATTTCTACAGTGTATGAGAACAGTTGCCAATGAAAATAGACGTATTAGAAACTGGGATGATATTGATAGTTTTACAGAAGAAGAGTTCAAAGCTCTGACGTCGATTTCAAAAGAAGATTTTCAAGAACTTTATGGATTTTGTGATACAATCGAGCAAGGGGGAAATAGAAGGCATATCAAAAAGAAACATTTACTGACATTTCTAATCAAAATGAAACATGGAGTTTCAGATGAGTTTTTGAAAATCTTGTTTCATTTTTCTTCAAGACAAACAACTAGCTTGATAATATCGAATGTGAGGATATCTCTAATGCAAAGATTTGTAACTAATAATATTGGTTTCGACTCTATTACAAGAGACGATTATATTAATAGACACGTGTCTGTATACACCAATCAGCTATACAACCCTTCTCCCAATATCCCAAAAGCAATTGTGTATATAGACTGTACATATAACAAAATAGAAAAAAG